AAAAATCCTTTTATCTGATTTTTCCTGAAATAAGTTGGTACCAAGTGCTTTATCTTCAGTCTCACTAATTCTGACCTCCATTGCCTCAGTTTTGCTCCTATGACTTTCTATTGAGTTGTCTAATTCTGAAATTTTATTGTTAATCTTCTGGATTTCTGATTGCTGTCTCTTATGGATTCTTGCAGCCTGTTACATTTGTCATTATGCTCTTCTCTAATCTTTTTAAATTCCTCTATTGTGTGTTCTGCGTTTTGCCTAATTTCATTCCTGATGTCTTGAAGAGTTCTATATATTAATCTTTTGTATTCTGCCTCCAGTAATTGCAAGATATTTTCTTCCTTCAGAAAATTTCTAGATTCTTTATTTTGGGAGCTTACTGAAGCCATCATAATCTGCCTCTTTATGTGATTTAATTTTGACTGTTGTCACCAAGCCATTAATGATTATTAATAATAAACTACTATGTTTATTTATTTTGTTTAGTTACTGTGTCGTAGCTTCTTGTTTTGTTTTGACATGCCCAAATAGGCTGCTTGTGTGAGCTAGCTTGGTCACCAGTGTCCCTGAAGCTCCAAAGACCTGCCATCAGGTGGCCAGACCTGCCACAAAGTACGTGAGCCCAGGAGTCTGCCCCCTCCTCCTGTGTGGGTTCAGCTCTGGTGTCCAGGTAGTTGGCCACCAAGTGTGTGGTGCAGGCTCTCACCTGCGGTCCTAGACAAGCATTGGTGATTGGTGTAGGCACAGGTATCCGGCTGCAGCAGGGGGACACACGCTGAGTAAGGCAGGAGGCTGACGGCCGCCTCCGAGTGTCCAGGAGGAGAGCGTGTCCCTGTTTCCTATAGCATGTAGGTGGGTTGGGTTTGCAGCCGGACTGTTGGCTGTAAGGACTGGGGAGACCTCTTATTCTTGGGCCCCTGTTGCAGGTGGCTAGGTGGTGTGGGTGGAGCCACCAGTCTTCAGGCCCCTGATGGGGGTAGGTGAAGACCCTGTTTAATTGGCAGAGCAGTGTCACATGTCATGATCCTGCCACTTCACAGCTGAAACAGTTGAAGCTAGACTTCAGGTATATACCCTACGCTGTTGAGATGGGTCCACACAAGTCTGTGCAGGGGGAAAGGCACTCAAAGTCTGTGGATCCCTAATGCCTGTGCCTAGGCAAAAGGAGCTGTGTCTACCCTGAGTTCCTGGCTTAGGGGAGCCGGCAGATTATTTTTTCCTCCAGTTTGTTAATTTGTTCCCTCTCCAAGGCCGGGACAATGGCTCAGGGAGCGTGACGGTTCCTACTTCCAGCCCAGGGGACTCGGCAGTCCCTGAAGCTGTCCTGAACTCAGTGCAGATCAGGGAGCAGGGAGGTAAATGCGAGAGAGGTTTTTCGCTAAGGGAGGTGTCTTTGATCCACGCAGTAGGCCAGATGCAAATACTTATCTTTCGCCGATTGAGGGCTGCTTCTCACTGGTTCTGGATGGCCGAGTAGACTCTGTGCTGCTGCGTCTCTCCCGGTGTGGAAAATGCCTCCTGAGCACTGCCACTTGCCTGCCTCACTGCTCATTCCTGAGCAGATCCGGGCTGAAGGGCTCCGGCTCCCATCCATTCAAGTCCAGCAACTCCTTGCTGCTTCTGAACCGTCTCTCCCTTCCCCTTCCACTCAGTCTGGTTTCTCAACTTTGCCTTTGATGTTCACGGCTCCTAGATTGTCATGTATAATCGATTCACTTGTTATTTTGGGTCTTTGTTGTAAGAGGGACAACGGAAGTGTCTGACTACTCCGCCATCTTGGCCTCGCCTCCTGGTTTCTGAGAATGGAATGTTAAAACTTCCCATAATGATTGTGGAACTGTCAAGTTGTCTTTTTTGTTCTGTAAATCTTTGCTTTATATAAATTTTAAGTTCTGTTGAGTTATGTTTGCCTGTTCAGTTAATCTTTTCATCATCAAATAATCTACATGCATTTTTTTTCCTTTTCTGTCTGCTGTTGGATTGATCAAAATTTCTTCTTTCTTTCCTCTTTGATTGTTTTAAAGATTTTTTTTTTAATTTAAACATAACTACTTGACTAAATAAATTTTAGAGATAATTAGTCTTTCCCTTTTTCCATGAATAGTAGAATCAACCTTAGAATGCTGTAGCCTTGATCACCCTTAGTTCTGCCTGTTTCTCTTACCTCCTCACCCAATGAAGTTTGAAATGATGCTATTTTGGCTGTTTGACCTGTTATATTATTTTAACAAATTTCTGTTGTTAAGTCATCTTTACTTTATGATTATATTTATTAGTATTTTATTTAGATTTCTTTTTTCAACCATAGTTTTTGGCTATATATGTTAAAATTTTGATTTAGATGTTTCTTTTAATTTGATGGGAATGATTTTTTTTTTGAAGGCTTGTAATAATTCACTTATTAAACCATTTGTACTTTGATTACTTTAACCTTTAAATTTTCTCATATCTCCTTTATTGGTTTAGATTGGTTAGTTTTCTTTTTAAAATAAGATTTATAGGAAGATTTCCTATTGTTTCAAAAACAGCTCTTTGCTTATTCTTTTTTTAGTGTTTTTAATCTTTTATTTTTCATTCTTTTAATGTTTTCATTTAAATACTGAGTTAATTTGTATCTTTTCTTTTTAAATAATGAAACAATTTAAAACTCTGAAATGCTATGAATACTACTTTCTCAACTTCTAAGTTTTAAAATATGTAATGTCTTTCTTATTTTATGTGCGTTTTTACTGTTTTGCCTTATTTCAGAAAGTTCAAAAAAATTTAAAAGCATTAGGTTTTTTTCTTTTTCTTTTATAGGTATCTTGTTTTATTGCATTGGGTAAGAGACTCTCACCTCGCCACAACTTTTATTGTTAGTTTACTTTCCTGAAGTGTTTATAAATTTAGTTACATTGCACTTTATAGTGACATTGGTTAGATCATACTTAATTTTTAGAGTTTTATTTGAATACTGTGCAGGGATGTGCATTACAGTCACCTGTGTGAGTTTTTTCAAAATACATATGTGTATCCTTCCTCAGTTTCATTAGATGTAGAGTCTACGCAGGCATATGAACTTTGAAAAGAGCTTACTAGGTACTTAAGAACCACTTCTGTAGTCATAGGGAGCCATCTGAAGATCAGCTGAAGGAGGAACAAAAATAAAAATGAGGAGTACCTAAATACATGAGTTATTATGACACAAATGTATTAATCTGGGCCTAGCCTCACATTTAGGTATAGGAAGGGCTAGATTTGAGGGAGAAAATGACCTTGAAGTCTCATATTCACTATTTGATATGGTAAATGTTAGAAAAAGTGCCTAAATTATTTTTATTTTGTATTCTTTCAACTTGTGCTTTATGTTGAGTATAATTTTAAGGCTCAAAGTTTAACTACATATATTTATTTCTTTGTAGGCCTCGAAGTAGAGGAAAAACTACAGTGGAGGATGAAGATAGCATGGATGGACTGGAGACAACAGAAACAGAAAATACTGTGGAAACAGGTATCAAAATTTAATATGAATTTTTAGGAAATACGCATAACAATGTACACATTTAGCTTTTGTTTATATACTTAGTTCTAAAATTATCATCTGCCTAAATAGTTTTATAACTGTTGTGAACTCTACTGAAAAAACCAAGTTCTCCCTATCTCTTTTTGTTTTTCCTTAAGCCCTGATTTAGTACAGATTATTTAATATCTGTGGATGAAAGGTTTTATCAGAGAAAAGTTAAAAGTGAAATAGTCAGTTGTTCCAGTCATTTAGTATGGTAGCTCACAGTATATTTCTGGTTTATAAACCATATAGTGTTTGTTTAAAGCTTATTGTGTTAATATGTGTGTTAAGAAAAAAATATGTTCCATTACCAATAATACTGTGAAATGCTGGGCTAAGCTGGACCAAACAGTTTTCTTTTCTCCTGGAGTTTTTGATGACTTTAATAAGCTAATGTGTATTGCGAATCTGTAAACAGTAGTTAGAGTAGGTTGCTCAGAGTAATTTATAAAATTTATACATGGTTGTTGTTGTTGGATGCTGTTGAGTTGATTCTGACTCATAGTGATCCCAGGTGAAACAGTAGAGCTGCCCCATGGGGTTTTCTAGGCTGTAATCTTTTTTTTTAATTGTACTTTAGGTGAAGGTTTTCAGAACAAATAGTTTCTCATTAAACAGTCAGTACACATATTGTTTTATGACATTGGTTCACAACCCCATGACATGTCAACACTATCCCTTTTCGACCTTGGAGGACCTTTTCTTTTCTTTTTTTTTTGGCCCAGATGGCTTCACTGGAGATTCTAGGCTATAATCTTTATGGGAGCAGTTTGCCAGGTCTTTCTCCCATGGAGCTGCTGGGTGAGTTTGAACTGCCAGCCTTTCAGTCGGCAGCCTAGTGCATAACTTACACTGCGCCACCAGGGCTCCTTCTATAGTTCAGAGACTAGGATTCATATTGTATTTGGAGTATATTTACGTGAGATGGTCTGTCATTGGTAGTGATTTTCATGAGTTGGTGACATTTTAGACATAGTGATAGGCTTTCTTTGTGAAGTTAAATGTCATCTCCTTGACCCTTGCAGAATGTCACATAGTTTTTAGGGGACTAGAAATTGCTATATCTTTTAAAATAGAATTTTCCAGAAAATGCTATGGTTGTCAAGTGTGTAGCCGTTATGCAGTTATATTTCTTGGAAAGCCTTCAAACATTTTACAGTTCCCAGCTCCTCTTCTAAAAGGGACCGGTTAGTTAGCGTGATAAGAGTGAAGCTTGGGAATTTAGAATTCTACATTTCCCCTTTGGTGTACATTCGTTACCACCTTACTTTGAACTTGACTCAATATAAGTTCCATTAATTCTCTTTTATATGATTTTTCTTTATGTTTTTCTGTTCTGTATACTTTTACTTATTTTCTAGTAAAACATCTTTTTGAATTGACATTTTTCAACATAAGGATTACTTACAAATTCCTTTAAAACAATGCTATCAGACTGTACCACATGTTGTCCCTTTATGTCGCATCCTTTCTGGTCACCCTCCCACATTCACTGAAGTTTTAGCACCTGCCTTTCTGTTTTACTCTCCACTGCTTCTCCCGTAGTCATTTTTGATAATCTAATGTCCTGGCCTCTCAGTTCCTTGATTCCCGGAAAAAATCCTGTTGTTTAACCTATCTCTGCTACTCATGGCCATACTTTAGCCTTTGTCATTCTACCAATCACTAGGACAATTGCTGTTTCACTCTAAAATCTCAGTTTCAAGCATCCTACGCTCTGATGATCACCTTTTCTTTTTCCAACTTGCTCTCTCCTAATAACCACACCATAGCAATACTCCATATTGAATCCTCCAATCCAGTGATTTTACCATAGAGGTACTGTTTCTCACCCTCCTTTTCTAGCTCAGATTCAGTGATCCATCAGCCTAGTCATTTCTCTTACACATCCTGAAGTCCTTTGCATTCTCCCACTGTCTTGTTTTGATGACACAACTCAGAAATCTTCATTCAAGCAGCCAAACATGGCTGGAGAAAAACATACAATTTTGCTGACTGGTTTCATAGATTTCTAACACTCCCTCTTTTCATTCTTCAGCTGATGATCTTTCCTATTTCAAAAAAAAATCAGAGAAGAATTCCACATTCACTCACCATCAAATCTACTTTCCTGCTTGCATCTCTAACGATACACTGTACCTTCTCCTGATAAAATGGGATGATGGAGCTCTGTGACCGTCTAAGGCCAGCCCCTCAACTTGTGTCCTGGATCCTATCCCCTTTCCCCTGTTACAGACTTTACACCTGCAATTTTCCTTGCTTTTCTGAATCAAGAATTTTTCCTTTTTAGTGAATCATTTCTATTAGCATATAAATGTGCTACAACATCACCCCTCTTCAACACAAATATCCTCTCTTGATCATATATCTCCTTTCAGCCCCTCATCTTTGTAGCAAAAATCCTTGAAAGGGTCCTTTATAGTTAATGGTTCCTACTTATATTTTCACCATTTACTTATGACCCACCACTCCTATCAGACTTTCTTCCTGGCATTCTACTAAATTGTTCTTGTCAGTGTCACCAGTGATTTCCGTATTGCCAAAACCGGCTTTTAGTCTTCATCCTACTTAACCATTGTGTTATCATTTCACGCAGTCAACCACTCTCTCCTTGAAACTCTATTTCTTCACTTGACTTTCAGGACACCACACTCTTTTGGTTACTGGCCTCTCCTCATTCTCCTTTGCTCATTCCTTTCCCCTTCCTGATCTCCAAATGTTGGCTTAGTCCTCAGATATGTTCTCCATATCCTCACTCATTAGGTGATCTCATTCGATTTAGTCACTTTAAATGTTGTCTGTGTGCAGGTGGAGCCATAGTGGTGCACTGGTTAAGCGTTCAGCTGCTAATCAAAAGGGCGACAGTTCAAATCCACCAGCCACTCCTTGGAAACCCTATGGGGCAGTTTTACTCTGTCCTGTAGGGTCGCTGTGAGTCGGAATCCATTCAACGGCAATGGGTTTTTATTTTTTATGTGCTGGTGACTCTAAAAACTATATTATCAGCTCTTTCTTTGCCTGTAGCACTACCTCTATCTCTCAGCATCTTTTAGATATCTAAAAAGCATCTCAAACTTAAATATGTCTGCTACGGAACTTTTTATTGTTATTCTGAAGCTTTCTCCTTTTCCAGTGTCCCTACCTCGATGAATGACACCATGTTATTGTTCAGGCCAGAAACAAGGTGTTCTTGACTTCTCTTGTTTAAAATTCAGCCTATTGGAAAATCCTTTTGGCTCTACCTTTACGATATGTCCTGAATCCAACCATGACTCATCTCCTCCACTGCTGTCACTCCAGATCTTACCACCACTCCTTGTCTGGACTGCTGCAGTAGCTTCCTAACTGGTCTCACTGCTTTCGTTTTTGTCCCGTTATGATCTTGTTGTCCACCTAATAGCCAGAGCGATCCTTTTAAAACCCAAAGTAAGAACCTTTGGGTCTTACTGTTGTTAGCCTTCCAAAGCTAATGGGGACAGGTAGAATAAAATCTGAAGTCTGTACCATAATCTTTAAGATCTAATAATCTGAATTTGGCTACCTCTCAAACCACATCTTCTACTTGTCTTCCCCTAACTCACTGGGCTCAAGCCATACTGGCCTGCTTGCTATTCCTGGAGTACTCTAAATCCATTCTTTCCTCAGACATTTGTGCGTCCTCTCATGTTTGCTTGGAACACTTTTCTCTCAGGTATTTATGTGACTTCCTCTTTACTTCAGTCAAGTCTCTACTCAGATGCTATCTCCTCAGAGGCCTCCCCTGACCCAGTCTAAAAAGAACGCCTGCCACTTTTATTCTCTTCTTCATTTTTCTTCCTAGTATTTAACAGATATGACAATTTATTACATATTTGTTTACTGTGTGCCTTCAACACTAGGGTGTCAGCTTAATGAGATCAGGGGATTTGTCGTTTACTGATTTATCCCAGTGCCTAGAGTACTTCTAGACACATACTAGGCATACAATTCAGTAATTGAAGCAGTGTAACATTTTTCTTTATTTTCTAAGCTACCTACTGTTCTTGATGTATCACCACAAAATTCTGACATTAAAATTTTTTCTTAGCTTGTACTTGGACTGTCTTCTCACGCTATCCCCTATGGGAAGTCAAGGCAAATAAGGTTTTGAGAAACATTTTAACAGGAGCAGAATGATATCTCTGGCCTTTATGCTAAAGTTAAAATGATGCCCACCGTTTTGTTAGTCCTTGCTGTGCTTTGCTCTTGGAAAGGCCTTTGTCACTTCTTTCAGTGGACACATGGGGCAAGGAGAATAGTAAAGGCAAGCATAAAGATTTCAACACCTGTCAAAACTACCAACCTACAAACTACACTGAAACAAAGAGAAGAGTTCCATAAATTTCTAGTGAGTTTAAAAGTAAACTCGAGCCTGCCACAAGGCTAAAACTGCTCTATGTATATTGCAAGGCCCAAGGGTTTATTGGGAGGTCCTCTTATTTCTGTAAATTCTGTCTTGACAAAATTTTTTAACGATTTGTAATAATATGAGAGTATTATGTAATAGGAGTGTGTCCTAGAAATGTTTGGCCATTAGGAAAGTAGCATGAAGGCTCAGGGACCAGTTTGTATTATATCTTGTGGTGGCTGTTACAAGTCTCTGTTTTCCTATATGAATAAAATCACCTGAAGAGACATTCTGTTTGTTTGAGAATCATGAGTTAATCAGTGCTCTGCAAACTTACCTTGTTTTAGTTAATCTTACATTTTTCTTTTCAGTGTTTAAATTGTCTTATTTTGGCTAGTGGGAGCCTCTTTCAACTGGCTTCTGAGTTCTTTTAATATCATCTCAAAACTTTTCAAAGCTCATTGCTCTTTGGCAAGAAAAAAGTATGTTTCAGACCCATCTTTAGTTCCCTCTGCCCCAACATGTGAAATCAGCTACTCTCTAAGGATTACTAGTCTTTTAGTGGAAAATAATATTGAGG